GACGTGCACCGGAGTAAGGGTGGGAATAAAGCAGGAGACTAAGTCGTCCAAACTAACAGCAGTTTTGTCCAGTCTTCACTGTCTACCACTCGTCCCTCCTAGACACTCCTGAATTTTGTTCGTAGCTGAAAAAAATCGTAGAATACGAAAACATTGGTGAATGCCACAAATTCTCCTAAATCACTCGTACGCACAACTTAAGAACAAATCTGTGCGTACGAACGGTTCTTGCATGAGGCCCATTGTTTTTAAGACTTTCAGTGGGGATGCTGTGTAGTATATTTTGAAAAAGATGTAAATTAGTGGTGTACCTGTTTACATAACATCCTGGCTGTTACTGTGTAACAAACYTTCATAACCACAAAGATGTTTCCTGTACACAACCAGGGACAAGATTTAGATTTAAAAAAACTTAGAACCAAAAATTCTGCAACATTTTTTGCAGCTAGTTGGTAGCTTTAAGTATTTACTAATGTTATAGTCATAGTCATAGTTTTCTTGTGTGCTGACATGACATTTRTGAACCAAGTAGCTACAGAAATCCCCAACTGGTTTACTCACCTTTGTTGATAACAAAATAAATGCAAGCTGTAAGTGTAAAAACACCTAAAGTAAGATCCCCTCTAAACTTTACATCCCAAAACAAAACTTAAGTTTAAAATCTGAAATTAAAAAATGCTTTTATTTAAATGTTTTTATTATAATCCCTGAATAAGCATAAAAAAACTGAAAACTTCTAGGAACAATAAAAATTTTTTAGCAAAAACTTATGCTGGAATTTCCACACCATTTCCTCTCTTCAAGTCATAACTGTACCAGATAAGGGTAAGCCCCTAACCTCTTTCTACAGCAAACAGAAGCGACCTGCAGTAAGTAGAACATCAGTGACGTTTGACCTCAAAGCATCAGGCTGAGCATCTGTGCGAAGTTTCGGTGGCTGTCTAAAACAGAGAGACTTAAGAGGAAACTTGATCGCCATCCAGGAAAAAAAAAAAACACACATTTTCACGCGATGAAAGCCAGCTCAAAAGGTGACGTTCAGAACACGATAACGTAGAAAACTTTAACGGTAAAACCCATTTTAAGAAGTTTAAAAAAAATMATATGGGCCAGCAAGCGATCCTTGAATCCTCACCTTCACATCACAGGCCAGAGATTTAAACAAAGYTCATGGAGTTTTGGCAGTTTGAGTCAAACKTTGAAAAAAAGCTGTGATAGCAGGAGATCCTACGCAACATGTTACATCTACACACAGAAGTAGTGAATGGCTCTCTGCTAGATCAATATTGGTAAAACTGAGTTACAGTTATTTGTGTGCTTTCTAAGGTCAGTTGGCTGTGGAGAACCCTAGAAACAATCAAATAACGTTTTTTCTTTTTTTTTATCCACAGCAGCCATATTGAATTGGGTTGACTCCAAAAGTTATTAAATTGTAGATGCACATCCAGGGTATATTTTCTGAGGGTTTCATTAAAATTTGTCCTCTGGTTTATGAGACATTTCGCTAACACGACAGGCAGACCAATTAACGCAATCATGGGCAAAACCAAAAATTTGTCTTCAGCGGTGGGCGATAAAGATAATCATCTCAATTACACAAGTCTAAACATTTCTTAAATAGTCCAAATTCGCCCTCCTTTCTACAAAGTCAAAATAAAATCTGTAAACAGGAACTTACTTAAAGGAAGTAAAAAGGAGAAGTAAATGGATTTMGTTTTTGGAGACTCAAATGATTCTCGGTTACAGTATACGAAGGAAAAAACTTGCTATCAGCAAACAGCAGCGACTTCCCAGGCCTTTCACTGCTGAGTCACAACAAATCACACAAACGCAAGACTGAAACTTCATAAAAGGAAGATTAAAAAAAATGAAACTTTCACACAAGCAGCGCCTTTTCAACTGTTAATTTGTATGGAGAACATGAAGAAAAATAAAGTGCTGTAAACATGGTTGAATTAATTGTATTGCAATTTTCAGCCACTACCGGTTTCTACTCTCACAAGGTCAATATATTTAATTTGGTTTGCATCATGTAACCTGACTTCTCTAGTTTCAGTGATTACATTCGGTTTTATACCAGGAATAATGAAGGATGTGAAACATTTCATGAGGCAAGTAGACATATTCAGAGTTGTTTAACACTCAGGGATTCCCCACAAAAAGCAGTGCTGTTTTATGTTGGAGAACTGATGCTGTTGTCTGATATTAACTGTTAAAAGTCACAACTACACCTTCAGAGCTGGGTCTGTCTGTCCCTCACTTGTCATCCACCCCTCTAAAAACAGAAAACTTAAACCTTTATGTCGGGCTGTGACTGTTGAAGACTAGTTGACGACTCAAAATTGTGAAAAAAAAAAAATCAAAAGGCAAATTCTCCACTGAAGTATCACTGAATTGAGGGTACATGTTTGTCCTACAAGCTGTTCGCCTGTTTTCTGAGTGGCCAGTCTTTGAAAATCATGGCTTAACGTCATGTGTACAGCTTGCAACTCCGTATTCTAGCCCATTATTTCATTACTTCATCTAAGCTGTATCCATCCCGCCTCACTTTGTACCCACTTCGGCAGCTATTCCCGCTTTATTATTTGATCCACCGGAATTTAGATCTGGATAAGCCACAGACATTTACTGTCAAAATGCAGCTCTAGCCACTCTTAAGATGGGTTGAGACGCTTGCAGCAAAACGGAGACGTGTTCAGGAAAAGTTAAGAGATGCCCGTTACAACTTTGCAAGTATTTTGAGACAAATTTTGTCACACAAAGTTTCTAAAACATGTCCAAAACTTCAACAAGACTGTGAGTCTTTGTAAATGGCGCAAGCAAACTGACAAGCCCCATTTTTCGCTGATAAGTCACCAGCAGTCGCAGCCCAGTGAAAATACTCTCTTGGGTCAGTTTYACCCAAGGGTAGCAGGAGGGTTAAAGAGTTCAGTGTCCACGTTAGCTACATAAAAGGGGCAAATACAAGTTCAATTTCAGTGAGTTGCAGAATTYAATTTTAGTGTTGCAAAGCGTTGCTGGKGACATGGATCCCAGTTCTTTAGTAAGATTTTTCTTCCCCACAGCATCAGGTCAGCTGGGCTAAGATCTGGTGACTGTYAAGGCCATGACAGCACATGACTGACTTCATTATCCCAGTCATCACGTCTCAATTAGTTGCCTATTTTTGTTATCCTGAAACTGACAYCTCACACAAAAGGTTCATCACAGGAACACAAGCAGTCGCTCACCTGTGGCTGATAAAAGTCCCTGAATAACAATCATCTACAGACAAATCACTTCACAGTAGGGTTTATATTTCATACTGTTGCAAATCTCTTCTTCAGGCATCTGATAAAAACCACGATCAAAGGGGTTACAGTCCACCTAAATTAAAGATTATGTGTTTAAAACTGTCACTGTGGAGATTACATCATGATTAGAAAATATGTGGGGATACTTTAAGGGACATGATACTCAGAGTAGGTGATTTGGCTAATATTATTGTAATTATAGGAGGTAGTATCACAATATTAATACCCATCAGTGTTATTCCTCCTATAATAACATTGATGCTTAATTACATACACGTCCCCAATATTTTGCATGTTAATTGTTGCGCACTACAGTCATAAAATATACATGAATAAAAAACAAGTTCAAACGGTTAAAGACAGTCGGTAATCCTCTTGGTCCTTATCGGGTTTTACAAACAAGCAGGCTGATGGGAGATGAGCTAGGCCCAGCGTTGTGTTCGGTGTGCATTCACCCCAACAACCTACGTGGTAAACATAACAATAAACTACTCTCCTGTTCAGAAAATAACAACCCTGGCTTAATTAAAAAAAAAAAAAGCCTTATTTTAACACTCGTTTCATCCTCATTTACCCACAGAATCAAGCCGACACATTATTATAAACCACAAACGGCTAACAAGCTTACCGGACAGTTCGTCGGGTTCCAGCCCGCTATCGGTGTCGAGACCGCAGATCACGAAATAATCTGCGAACCGGGAGGAACCGGAGCTGAAGCCGGTGGTCATTTTGAGACTGGTCCGGTGCTGTCCTTACCCCTACGACAGGGAGCATATTAAGGGAGCCGGGAGAAGTGATTTCTCCCTGCCATTACGTGAGTTACGTTACTGCGCGAGGCTCGAAAACCTCTTCATAAAGTAGCTAAAAGCGCTTCCGCTAACGCTCCTTCAGAACAAAAGCGGCCAGAAACATTTTCAAAATAAAACCGCGACAATATCACATAGCTTATTAATTATGAATTAGCTCGTTAAATAAACTCCAACTCTGCTTACACACACAATTATTCTCATATATAACAATATGTTTTACAAGATGAATAATTTATGAGAACACATCTGTCTCAGACGTGCTCTGTTATGCTGAAGTGAATTTTACAATAATTACCTTGGATATGTAATGAAGAAGATGACAACAAATACAATAAAAAATCAAGCAGAATATCTTAATTTTGTGCATTAGTGGCATACTATAGTTACATCTTCACGTTTAAAATATCACTGGGTATAAAAAATAACATGTTTGGGACTTTAAACTAATCTAGGTTCATTTATAAAACTGATATCACCTCTTTAAATGTTTTATCTGACGTGTTTGTTATAAAATAACCTTTCCCATGCCATGACTGACACATCAAACTGCTGCAAAAACGTTATTTTAATACCTAATGCATGTCTGGTCTGCAGGTATTTCACAATGTCGCCACCTGGTGGTATAACAGCCTCATTTTTATTTTTTGCAAGTCTAAAAAAATGATGTAAGAATTAGCTGTTAAAATGCCTGGGCTCATGACGTGGTTTTATGACAGAACCAGAGAAAATTCCACATTAAGAGCTTTGATAATTAAACAAATGGTCAGTCAGAAATAATATGCTGTTTAGTAAGAAGTAATGCTTTCTTACAAAATATTAGCAGGTTACAAAGATTTAATAGAACAATCAAAAAAATCCTATCATGTTATGCTTTCAAACATTAAAAAAATGTGAACCTTCCTTAGCATTTTCTTTCAGTTTGCCACAAGTTTAGATCAATTTTAAAAGTTAGTGTATCACGTAATTTAAAAAATATATATATAAACCAATCTGAAAAACAGAAGAATCGAACAGAAGTTATGATTTCCATCTTATACTGGAACAGATGTTCACACCTGTAATCTATTTATATTATGTTAAAAACCTCACATCTGATGGACTGAAATAAAACAAAATAAAAACAGAAAACCTCCAAAAGCTTCTCTTGTTTTATTTATTTATTTTGATTTAATTTAAAGAGATTATCAGTAAATCTGTGGTACTGTATCACTGGATTATTACTTCTTTATGCATTTAATTTCTGAAAATCATTAGCCATTCCAACAACTTAAAGTTCACAATTTTGCAACATGCTTTAAAATTAAACATAATGGTGTGCTTCTTTTATTGAAAACTGTAACAATAAAATAAAAGCAAAGCTTGGATATGTCGGTTTGTTGGCAGTCTGAGAGAAACTGTAATGTTTGTACGATGTTTATGGATGGAATGAATACGCAAAAGCACAGAGGCGTTTTCATCWCTTCATTCCAAATTAAAACATCCATTGCATAATGTTTAAGACTTAACAGATAGTTGTTGCCTCCATTTCTAAAACTTGACATTTTTGCCACATTTATGTGGTGACAATAAAATTTCACCTTTAATAATCAAAAATAGTAGCAGGAGCAAAAAGAAAGGATCAAGACGTATATCATCATTTTAAAGTTTTAAGATTTACTGTAAATCTTACTTCAGGCTTTTGAGGTCAACAGAAATGAAACAAACAGGACTTTGTGTGGCAGTGGATCCAGGCACATTTCCTCTAACAACTATACAGTGTTTGTCCAAAATGTTCCTTTTTAGAGCAAAAATTTTTTGAGAACAGTGTGATAATTATTGCTGTGATGAGACAAATAATTAGAAATTCAACATTTGTTAAAATAAATATCAGGAGTTAAGAATTTAAAAAGGTGCTACCAATAGAAAGCAATGGTCACATGCAACAATAAAAAAAATAATTAAGAACATAGACATTCACAACCTAAATAAGACTGATGGCACTGTTTCACACATTTTGACCCAAAAAAATGCTTTTCAATAAAAAGCAACAGTTATCTGCAACATAAAGCATCCCTACAGGAAGCACCTTTATATATCTAAAAGATTAATAAAATGAGCAGTGCTTTAAATAAAAAAGTATGTTTTTATTTACACAACATGCCTCAATCTGCAACAAAAAATAAAAAATTAATTCGCACAAGCAGCAGGTAGTTTTTACATAACATGAGGAATAACCCACCACAGCAAACATTTTGAGATCAGTGCTCGTTACGCCATCGTCCAAAGACTCCTCCGTGAGCAGCACACCAGAAGCTGTGTAGGAGCTACAGTGACCGCCGCATGTTCCTGAGCCGAGGGGCAAAAATGGTTGGAGCCAGCCGAGGGATGAGGTGCAGAGAGGTTTAAAAAAAAAAAAGTTCTACTCAAGTTTCTGCCGCAGTTTTGTCTGGAAGCAGACGGGCAGGATTGACAGCACGGCGAGCACACCGAGCACAGCCAGGGAGTTCCAGGACACGGCCTCGCCGGCTGTGGTCAGTTTGTACAGTGTGGTGCCTGCGTTGATAGCTACAAAGGAGGGTGGCGCCACACCTGTCAACCAGCCAGGTTAAAGACACAGGTGAGCCACAACCAGGAAATATTACAAATATAGAACACAGAAAAACAGTCAGAGCGTCTTACCGAGAAAGGTGCCGACAAAGAAAACCCCCAAAGGTACGTTGATGACAGGGGAAGTAATGTTGATGAACCAGTTGGGAAGAAAGGGGGTTATTCTCAGGAAGATGATGTAATTGATTAAATGGTCTCTGTGTTTGTCAACCTGCCAGCAAAGAGCCAGAAACAGAAAAATTACACTGGTGAAAACGGGTTACAACCATCCACATACTGTATATCACAACTAAAGACAGGATAGGTTGAGATGCAAAGGATTAGCACCCTCTAGTGGCTGGCTGCAGTACAAGTCCCACCCCTCCATAAAAACAAATGCTCATCTTTCCAGGTTCACAAAGCACTTACCTTACTGCAGTTTGTTGAAATGCATTTTATATATATTATTATTGTTATTATTATTATTATTATTATTATTATTATTTGAAGCCTAAAAAAAGTGTCAGCGATTGACATGGCTGTGTCTCAATTCAGCGGTTGCAGCCAACATGGAGCGCATTTGTTGGCCAATTACGTCACTGCGCTGCGCCGTAGGCTGTGCCAATTCGTGGGCGTCTACTCATGCAGCCGACAAAGCCCCAAAAAACGTGGGCTGCATCTGAGGCCCTGTCGCAATACCCACACTCCCACCCTTGTGCACTTCAAATGCGCGTTCAAGTTGAAGGGTTTGTGTGCMTAGTGTGTCCCACATTCTCCCCATCCGCCCTTTGCCCCGCCCATTTTGGGTACTATTTCCGCCCTTCCGCAAAGTCTGCATTTTTACGGACTTTGGTGAAATGTATTACCCACAATTCATAGCTGCCAAAACAGTGACCTATTTTTTTAAAATAAAACTTTATTGAACATTCGAACATGGTACAAAAAAATAGCAATGCTGCCGGGGGAATGAAGAACTATAAATGAAAAAGGAGGAAAAAAATATGTATAAATAAAATAATAATAATAATAATAATAAACATTAAATAAAATGATTACACCACAAAAAAGAACCAATCACGACAAAGTTAAATCAGGAATTCCAAAAAGTGAACAAGACATTGTAATTATTTTGCCTTCTGATTATTAGAGAAGTGAATAGATTGCATTTATAGTATAAACTCAATCATCAAGGATGTCATGGACTAATTATTTATATCTGTGTCACCTTGACACTGTCCACTGCTCATATCTTATGATAACTTATGTCGGCTCTTAATCTGTTTGTTCCAGACGTCAGGACTCCAGCATCGGACTGACCTCTCTTGCGCGATATGTTAACTCTTTGAGCTGAGAGCCTGTCATTGGCTGATAGTAACATGAGGCGGATTGTGATTGGTTGTACATTGTCACATGGTGTTAACATGAGGTTATATCATTGGTCTGCCATCTGATGACGGTGGCCACATTCGACAGATTTCCATGATTGTTTTCTGTTCATTGTTTGCCCAGAATTAGATAATTACCGACCATACACGCAGACTTCTTTTTTCTGTGCACTTATTTCAACGTGTTTCTGCATTTTTTAATAAACGTGTCCACGACAAAGGAGATAAAATTTGTTTCTTTCTTTAAACATTTTCTTTTATGCAAATAAAATTTGGCCTAACAGTGACCGGTAGCTACCGGTGTTTGATGACATAATCCTGTCCCAATTCTCAATTGTTTTGCACGCTTGTAACCTGCYCACTCGAACACTTATGTGCACTTGGCTGAATCCACACTTCACAGAGGGGCGTAGGGTGTGCACTGAGCACTGGGACTGGGCCTGAGTATTCTACGTGGCTGGTGATATCCCAGGATTCATTGCACCGCCAGCAAACAAAACATAAACAAAGATGGCAAAGGTTGTTGTTTTTATTTTTTACAACGGTGAAGTTTGGAAATTTATCACGGACTGAAGAACAAATTTTTACATGTACATATATGTATGTTAATGKTTACAAAACAGCAACTGTGCAAATAATCATAACTGAAATTTTACTGAATCCATTGATTTATGCAGCAAGAGAGAGCATCACATCCAGTAGGAAACTAACTTTAATTTACAAATTTATAGCCATGTGTGGTAATGTGAATGTTTTAAGCATTATTAATAATTTGCTGCTTTATTTAAATTGACCCATGGAGTAACATTTCAACCGGTTCTGGTCTAAAGCAGATCACTACATCAATCAACAATGACTCATTATTTAAAGCTCTTACCTGCTGAGACCATTTCTGTGCTCTTTCTGTCAAGTATTTGTAGACCACAGGTCTGCCCACCAGATATGACAACAGATAGCAGAAGGAAGCACCGAGGCCAGAACACTGCAAACACACAAAACACAATAAAATACTAAAACACGTCAAAACCCTCATGACTTAAAAAAGTAAAAACAAAACAGCAGCAACACATATTTTATTTAATGTTGACATAAAAACAAATTAAGCCCCACTGAGAAGATGAGAGAAGTACTACATTATCACGACACCTCCTGCGTGAAGAAATGYTGCAGCGTTACAGCGAAACTGTTACCAAACGTTTCAAACGAGACAACAGGGGTTTTTGTGTTTTCACACTTTAACCACGGCCTCTCTGATTTCGCTGCAACATTCTTTCACTTGTTCCGAGTAATTTCTGTGTGCGCACGTTATTAGAACCAACGAGGTTAAAGGTTTTTCAGCAAAGTGAGACAGAAAGAAAAAAAGAAAAAAGTGGCAATAATTTTTGTTCTCGGTTTAAATACCAGCTGTATTTGCACATTTTACTCTGAAAACTACTGATTTATTCCTCCTTTTTTTTTTACACAAATGTATGTTTAATTGGAAATTCATTAATGCATAAATTCAAAAATCCACATTTAAAGTCTATTCTGCCTCTTGCAAACAGGATGTGACAAAGTTTGAACACACCTCAAGTTGTGCAGAGAAGACAGACTGTTGTTACTTACCAAGCAAACTAAAAAGAGAGCCAAGGGGAAAGGGTAAAGATAACCAGACAGGATGCTGAGGAAGATTGATCCAGGAATAGCAAACGTCTGGAGGCTTAGAGGAGTGTTAAGGTGAGCAACATCACTGTTTTCAAAGAGTTAGACAGCACATTAATAATCAACAACAAAAATGAAAGAACATTTTTATAAGATGTTCAATTAGATTATTGTAAACAGCAAAAGTAAACATAGTATATTCATAGTAGTTTGGTGATCAGTGCTGTGGTCTTATAATCCTGAGGCTGCAGGTTTGAGCCCATGTGTCAGAAAGGGCATCCGGTGTAAAATAGTTATGTGTTTGTTTAATGTGAAGACCTCTGGAGAAGAGAGCAGCTGAAGGAACATCACAAAAAGCTATTTTTCTGCTCAGATCAATACATTAGAGCAGCTCATGCTTAGTTTTCATGAAAGCTGATATAACTGCTGATTTAATTTATAATATAAACACTTTATATTTCAACACTTGGATTACATTTATTTTTAAAGTGCCTGTGACAAATACAAAAGGTCAAAGAAAACATCATTATATTTAAGAAACCTGACACAATACATGCAATTTTGCCCATTTTGTAACATAACTGGCATATTTTCCTTTGAACTTGGCTCAGTAAAAGTGAAACAGGAAGTGACATCAAAGGGTAAATATTTAAAAAAAGGAACTCTCTGGTCTTTGTTTATTGAAATACTATTATTTAAACTCTAACTCCTCTTCATCTGTCCCTGACAGTGACTCAAAATAATTTGAAGAAATGTCAAATTCTTCTTTACAGTCTGTGTTGTCAGCCATTTTAATAACACTCTGTTCACATGCAGACATTCCCCTTTGATGTCACTTCCTGTTATTTTACATGCAAATATCTCAACAGCAGTTCATCCCAGTGGCGTAAAAAAATGTTTTCTAGCATGCTATTAATGTTGTCTTTCCAAAAATGCATACATATTTATTACAAAAATTTGATGTCACAGCCACTTTAAATTACGGTGTGCTTTTACTTTGTTAGGAATGCTGGTTGAACAATTTAAATGGGTATTCGACACAGAGGTATTTAAAGATCATGAAGTTGGAGCTAAATAATAATTTTTGGTCTGAAGAACGTGTGGGTTAAGAACATTCAGAGAAGGTAACACTTTAAATACAGTTTGCAATGAATGAGGCAAAAAGAAGCTAAATATTCTAGATATTCACTAAAACATAAAGCTGAGATTTAGCACTCACATGCCTTTTTTTTCTCCCAAAGGATACAAAATATAAGTTGCAAAGTAGGCCACCAACACCTGTGTATAGTAGGTGTCTTTGTATTTAGACAACACTGTTCCCAAAGCTTTGGCATCGTCCATGTCTTTAGGAATCTTCATTTTTTCCATTTCATCACTGGTGAAAACAAACAGAGAGGTTTGTGTCAGTTACAAATAAACATGCCTGATACGTTTCCATCAGCTCAAAACACAAAAAACAAAACAGTGATTAAAAGTCTGACTTAAGAAAATGACTTAATTCTTAACAGGTTTGTTGCAAATGGAGGGTATGTGAGAATAAAGGAGTGATTGTGGGTAGATCGTCAGTACGCGGCTTCAGCAGTTGTGGTGAAAAACGAAAAAAGACAAAATATCTGTTGCATTTTAGTTGTCCGTTAGCCTGACTTTATTTTTTTTTTTTTTTGTTATGGCACTGTTTATAACTGCATGTGTAACCATGGGCTCGGTCCAGCTCAAGCTTTATGCGCTCGTCTTCGTCACCTCTCTTCCAGGAAGAGCTCGCAAGTTCTGCCTCGGCTCAGCCAATCCACGGGCAGAGCTCTGCTGATGTCAAGCTCGTAAGTGCGCAATACTCTGTCACCTGCTTAGAACCACCTCAAAGGTGGTTCTGAAGGCGAAGCTGGAACTGGAAATGGAGACACATTTGGCCGAGGCTGAACTGAGTAGAACCATATACTCGTGGACAGAGGGATAAAATAACAGAAGCAGAGAATTGTGACCGCAACTCTCACTAGTGAACGTGTATGACCACAGCTTTAAAGCCAAAAAACAAATATACAATCATAGAAACAGACTAAACAACTATTAAAGCATTTTTATCAGTTTAACCACTGTTTATTCCAGAATTTAACTATATTAAGTAAGAAATTACTGTAATCATTTAACCACTTACTGGATGATTATTCAGTTGAACATATAATGCAAATCTGTCTTAGTTATTCTAGTAAAATATTAGAAATTTATAAATTTTCTTAAACATTGTTAGTCCTGCATAAAAAATAAGTTGAACATTGTCGGTCTGAAATGTTAAGTATTTTGAGGAACGAACAGGATTTAACTAAAACTTGTTCAAATGTCTGCCACAAAGTCCTTTCTAAAACATTAAGTGCATCTAATACTGTCCACATGCCTGCCTTTTTTAGTTTGGTGACGCATTAACAAAATGATTTTCTTCAAATATTAACTTCTTCCTCTGAGGAGACATTAGAAATGCAGGCCAGTCACCCTTTGGTACAAAGACCAAGACAAAGAAACAAACACCCAAATCTAAATAAGTTTAAAAAAAGTCTTTTTTAAAGTTTCATAAAGTAACTTACTCAGAAAGCTCTGGGAAATTCCTGTAAACCAGGTACATGACTGAGGCAGAGCAGGTGAAGATGGCCATCAGAATCAGCAGGGACATACGTGTTGAGCCTCCTATACTTTGTTGAGCCTCTGCAGGTAAAAGAAATAAAAAAAACAATAATTTGATTGATTACTGTAACTAAAAGCTGACAAACTTACTCCCTGGAAGTTTTGTGTAATATGATTGTGTCCCTTGCATGTTGGCGCAAAAAAACAACAAAAACCCCCACCTATAATTACTGTATAAAGACATTATTTTAAAGAATTCTGAATTTTTCATTCAGTTTTTGTTCTGAAGTAAATACGACAAATCAAAACATTTACATTAACCACTAATTATAAATTAAATAGARTCAGTAAAAAGTGCAAAACCAAAAACATCAGTTTGCAATCTAACCACATAACCTGTATACAGAATCATTTGGCAACTGAGACTAAAATGTACATGTTCAGAGTTGCGATGTAACAAATACAAAAAGGCTTCATCAAAATTAGCTTTCTGAAATCAGATTATTAGTAAAAAAAAATCAAATGTTTTTAATGGGTCTCACATGAGCTTTTGAACACTTAAGTTCGCACTGCTACAAACTACACATACAATGAAGTCCTTATTTAAAACCATTTTAAAATGATCAAATTTAAATATTTGGTGCACCTATACAGAAATMTAAAGCTTTATCTTTTGCTGCTTGTACTTTTGAAACAAATAATCCATGAACAAGTTTTGACAAATTTCTTATCTGTGTTGAAAAATTAGGACGACGAGACAGAGATAATGTTCAGAAAGATAACGAGTTCCTACAATTCAATAAGCTAAGAGTGATAGTAAAAACGATGGCACCAAAACATCAATAAAAACTTTAAACAAATGCACAGGTCAAAGAACACCACATCCATAGTTAAGAATAAAATGATTTTAAAATTTCCCTTTACTTTCATTATAGATTTTTGGATTTTATTACACGATATAGGTCTTGATAATCTTTGTCATGTTTGATTGTAATTCTAGTAAGGTTTGTATAACAAATAGCTAGTTATTTCTGCCATAATTTTCTTTACTTTTAATTGTTTTTTTTTAATCACCCTGTTAGATATACACAAAAAAAATGACAAGATGATTCCACCAAAGAAAATCAAAGCAATGCTTCTCAACTAATTACAAGTAATAACTAGGTAATAATCYATGTTTATAAACTACGAATAAAAGGTAAAGACTATTATTGCTAATACATTGTAATAACTCCCCTGAATGATTCATTTGCAAAGACTAAGCGAAACTTTAGATATTTTTTACATCTATTGTTTCAAATATGTTACATTTCATCATGATTAGTAGATTAAGAGCGATAAGAGTGCGGTGATTGTATGATATAACGGCCTGCCATAATAGTGTTCGTTAGCTTTYTCTCTCAGGCTAGCGATCGAGGTCGTCGCAATGCGCTAGTTTCTGCTAAATGGATTTTGGCTAACATTAGCTTTAAAACCTTACAGATTTTCTTTCACGATGTTACGTTACTTACTTGGTATATAACGCCAACAAATATCAACTTCCCTTTTCTGTCAAATCAACAGTTAGCCACCAACCTTTCAGAAGCTGCGAGTCTCTACTGGACTTTGCGTCCGTCGGTGCTGCTGACAAACCGTCCATTTCTGACATTTCTCTCCGCTTCTTGGCCATTCTAAAGTACTATTTAGATAAGTATACGATGTCCCAATGTGTGAATCGACGACACCGGGCAAACACTCAACACCGGTATGGTGACAGCCTGCTGACACGTTACACGAACCGACCTTTTACCTTTTCTGTGGCACCATGATGATGATGATGATGAATCCACTGCAGCGCCCCAAGCGGCAGCAGCAGCTAACACATGAACACACCATTCACTATTTAACACAACAAAATCCTTATCTTACACTCTCTCTGTACTTCACTGTCACGTCTCTCCAGTAAAAAAAAAATCCTCCATTTCATTAATCAAAAATACATAATATGTAAAGATAACTTTTTGTTAAATTGGATGATTTGGATCTAATCTGAGGAAGCCAGATTTCGCCAATTCCATGCGCATGCGTGAATTTAGGTACCACGTGTCCAAAGAGTTCATAGCTACTTCCGGGCATTTAACTCGAGACTTTTGGTCTTTTGCACCTGCTTTTTGTTGATTTTTACATACAACATGTCATTAAATTGATTTTATTCYTATTTTATGTTGTGATAGCGAAAACTCCTCAACATMCAACATCATAATTTTGAGATAGTGTCTTAATTTGGACTTGAAAAATGTTTTTTTATTCTATTCAAAGTGGAAATAGATTTCCAAATAGCTAACTGTATTATATAACCTCTTTGGTTTCCATATAACTTTTCCAGAAAAGCAAACATTAAAAATATATACATTAGATTTTAGTGAATGTTATGTAAACTAGTGTACATTTGTGTCTATGTGTGTAAGACAATACCTAAATTGCAAAATACACATAATATTAAAAAAATGTAACATAAAAATTGTCTTCATGTAGCCAAATGAACTACAATTTATGCAATTGATACTCATGTACTGTATGAGCTTCTTAGCCCAGGTTTTTGTCAGTGAATAAAGGTTAAAATAATTTGATAAAATGTGTTACCGTATGGTTTATTTTAAAATGTAATCGAAATATATGTTAATGTAATGGAAATACTTTTATACTTCTCTTTMTTTTTGTCTATCAGTCTCCATCTGGGGGAGTTGAACAGGATTCTGAGTGTCTGCCAGGCTGTCAAACATTCATGCAAGTTGAATTTCTTCCATTTTTGAACTTTCCTATAACCAGAGCACAGACAGGCAGTATAAAAATACTTTTCCCATCTTCAAAATAAGCTATTTATTTATCTGGGCATGTGAATCTTATGTGCCTGCATGTCTGATAGTGCATACAATTTCCAGACCTGACGCAGCACATAATCATCATCATGTGAGCATGTATTGTCACAAGAAATTCCTGGAGATATGATCTTTCTTTTCTACATTGAACACCATGTCAGTCATATTACACGATGTGAAACGATTCATATTGGTGGTGATGATAGCATTCACAATACCTTTCAGTACACAAAGATACATTTAATATATCTGTAAAGGCTTTCATAAGTATCATCTGTATTAACATACAAGTGGGTCAAACCTGATCTTACCCTGTTCAGTTAAATATCAGATCCCATTCGGCTTGCATAATTTTAATGTAAATACCAAAAAATATTGTTTTTGTTAAAACCAGAAAGCCAACTTAACTGTAGTTTAATAAAAGCAACAAATAGTAAAATTTTGTGGCTTCAGATGTAACTATAAAACACCTAAAATAGGTGTAGTGTCGTATTTATTTAATGACATAGCCTGCACTGAGAAATAGATGTATTTTTTTTCACACAGACTCCAACTTTAAACTAAAATAAGCAAGTACAATTTTGTTTTTGTTTTTTATTTATTCGTTTTATTTCATTCATAAAAAAATTAAAAGTCCATTAAGTCAAACTGAATGAACATATTTAAAAACACACTATTTTGACAGATAGACACAAAAATAACAAAACAAGATACAAAAATGTTTTAAATTTTCTAAGAGTTGACGAATGAAACATAATGGCGCAAAAAAAATTAAAAGAAATAATCAAAAAGTTATGCCAAAGATGGTAAAAACTACAACTCCCAAAGTACCGCAGATGAAACCGGAAGTTCGTAGGAACAAATTTGGCGCTGATCTATCCGGGTACTTCATTTCACTGCTTCCTTTCGCGCCGGGTAACCGGAGAGCCGTGCGTCCATGTGCGCAGTGACTGGGAATTGAAAGACCACTGAAATATTAAGATCCCAGCCGTAAACAGTTTTCCTCATGGATCCCGATTCTTTGGTCGAGGCCCTTCGGGGGACCATGGACCCCAATCTGCGGGAGGCCGCGGAGCGACAGCTGCACGAGGTAAAAGTTGAAGCGAACTGTGATGATGTCAGTTGTGGCGCGGTCTCGGTTCGGGCCTCGGCCGTCCACAACATAAGATGGTGAGATCAGACAAGCTGAGCCTGCCGGTTTTTAACCTAACACATACAGTGCGGGGGAAATCTTATACCATGTGTATTGTCGCTCTTTTATTTTTTTCTACTTTAAACCCACACGCTAGAGGAGCTAACAACCATCTTTTTAAATGGCGATGACACTCTCATGCCAGTAATCGTCACTAGCTTCATAAAGCCAGCTGTGTTGCTAATGCTAACAAGCTAATCGTTCCTGCTTTGGTTCAGAAACAAAGTAAGTCGTTTCGAACCATTCCTTAGACACTAAAACGATTATGAAAGCTGCCACCACACCGAATTATACTTGTTGTTCATCATCAAGCGAGTTGAGCCGTGAACGAGTCCTGGTTTATGGTGTTCAACAGCAGGATGTGTAGCTATGCGGCTAATGTCAGCCAGCTAACTTAGCTGCTGCCGTAGCTCCGCTACAATGCCGCTGCTCACGTGTCACTGTGAGGTGCCCCGAGCTGAGCGTAGTGTTTCAGAACATAATTAAAAATCTAAGTTCTCCAAATTTGGACCGGTTTATCGCAGTTGTTTCCCGAATGTCTAACCGCGTGGCCTCCTCGCATTTGTTTTATGTAGCATTAGCCTAGATGATCAGAAGTGGAAGAAAGTTATCTGGATGTCTGCGCCCAGACGCCGATTAGTTAGTTGTCTTACTTTTAACCTTTTTTAATGTTTGAACAATAAAGCCGTGGCATAAAAAAGAAGTGGCAGTCAGACCAAAGTATTGCTTTGATCATAAGTCATATTTTTACTGACCTAATGACCGTCAAGTCATTAAATATCAACGCCCTTCTCAAATTCATTGTGATGGGGTTTTGTCTAACAATAAGGGTTTTCCCATTGAACAGACATGCATTAGAGATAACTTTGCATCTTACTTTTTCACATGTAATACTTGGGTTTACTCTACTTAGCCTCTTTTTAAATTGCTTTTCATATCTGGAATTTCTGCCCATCCTGGTTTTTTTTTTTAATTGTCCAGGTTATTTTGGTTTGGCTAATTAAAAATGTTGTTTTGTTTTACCATCTGTTAAGCATGTTGGCTCTTGTTCTAAGGTCCAACAATACCCAAGATGAAGCCTCTCAACAAAGTACCAGTTTGTGATAGTTTGGTTGAATGGTTAACACACAAACACTTTAAAGGGATCCACGATTAATTGTCACATTAGACTTTATTTGATAAACATATATTTTAACTTTAATATAAAGACTGTAAAAATACTGTAGGCTATTTAGTTTTTATAATTTTTTAACTAAAAGTTTAAAAATGTATTACACGGATGGGGCCATTTTATTTACATGCAAAGCAT